ATAACACACTACCTAAAGTGTGCATCAGGCTTATTTTCGTGCAAGTTTTAGTCCAAAGACCAAACGGTGGATACCTGGTGGTTTGTTTTTTCATGTATATCACTTCACTTGTTCATACGGAGCAAGTTATGCCAAGAAGACAACAAGGCGTTTAACCGAAGGCGATCAGAAATCCTTCATCCTTCTCTCAAGGGAGAGTCGGTGAATTGGTTGACCGCCGACAGTCAACAGTGATCATCAGTTGAATACCAGTCAATCGTTCTAACAGAGTTAAGCTGGTTGCTATCGTGAACTATCGGATTTCGATCATTGTCAGCAGCGGAGGCTGTTTTCATTCGGCTGTACAACCCTGAATCCTGCGCATGCAAACAGTTCCTTGAAGTTCTCGGTTTACCAAGAACAAAACCTCACTTGGGAGAGATGTCCTTTACATGCCCCGGAAAGCACACTTACGTCGTTTCTTTGTGCTTACTTTGACAGCTGAAGAAACACAAAAAACAAAGTTGTTTTTGTTTTGTTTTTGTTATCTCTTACGAGACCATCGAACAATTTGACTTGCACGGACCTGCTAACAAAACAGAAGCTCACCACTCCTAAGAAATCCAAGCTTAACCTCAATAATGACACTGGTGAACTGAATAAGGCGTCCTGTCATTCCATTGACTCACATACCTATTTTCAAAAAGATAACGTGCCATTTGAGAAGATCATGATGAGATGTTCTTTTGAGAATATGGAAAGCTTAGTCCACCCAGATTGACATATTCATGAACTTTAAGTGATTCCATCCTTCAAGTTGGACTTCAAGCTCCAGCTGACAGTTTTTATGACTGAGACAACAAAACTTTCGACCTAGTGACAACGCCTCCAAGAGGGTGATGCCCAGCATTAACGAAGAAAAATTGTGCACGTACCTTTCTGGATTTGTTGGGAACTTGGTGAGTGGTGTTGCTCGATTAAGCTGGCTGACGAGTCTGTGATGCAATGTGTGATGTACTCGCACCTGAACCTGGTTTCTTCCCACTACCACTCAGGGATACGGGATTGTGGTCTCGCATTCTGCCCGTCAAATGCTTTGTCGTACGATCGTAAACGTAAACAAGCCCAATGTGCATAGGCACTAGAAACGCTGACGATATCCGATCGCGTAGACTTCAACGCATACGTTCGACTCATTATTGCCAAACGGATGGATGCCAGGGAGAGGAAACTCGTCAGCCAGCTTAATCCATTGACACCATGCACCAAGTTTCCAAAAAATCCAGAAAGCGACGTGCACAATTTTTCTTCGTTAATGCTGGACATCACCCTATTGGAGGCGTTGTCACTAGGTCGAAAGTTTTGTTGTCTCAGTCGTAGAATTTGCCAGCTCGAGCCTGAAGTACATTTTGAGAATCTGTATGACCAGCTATCTGTGCTAATACCTTCCTCTGAAGTGAGTATAGAACAACTGAAATCGATGCTAGTCAATTCGTGTTACAAGCATCTCAGCTACAAACCCAGAACCAAACGACTTTTAACATAAGAACACTTCAAGGCTCTGAAAGGTTTACAGCAAAGTGACCAAGTTTCACTGTCCAAGCCAGATAAAGGCCCGGGAATCGTCTTGATGATTCTGTATCTGTAAGTTATTAACTAATTATCTGTTTTTCCATTGTCCTTTGCAGTGTTGAGTTGGTTCATCCGCGGGTCTAATAAAGATGGTGGGCCTCTCCTGAGCATGCCATATAAAATGGAGCACAAGTCAAATTTGATCCTCGGATTGATTAAGGACGTGGAGGCACATTCTCCGCTCCACTGGTAGGTAGTCCGCTGACGGATGATTCTGTCACATTTGAGCGAACAGTCAGCTGCATTTGTACAAGGGAGGAGAAACTACCAGGTTGTCCAAACAAACCTAGACAAGAACAGTCGGGATGCAAAGGTTGGGTTCGAACTGCGGACCTCCCAGTTCACGCAGTAAACGCCAATCTACCTCGAAATCGGCGACTAAAATTGGACATTTCTCTTCAACCCATACCAATGATCACAAGTCCCTGTTTCTTCACAAATCCTGTAACAAAATCTATTCTCAGTGGAAATTTCAAGGAATAATTTCATCCTATACTGATTTTGGCATAGCAGTAGTTCGGCGACTTAGATGTTGAATGTCTGCCAATTCTGTGGTTTTTGAACCACTTTCATGCACCAAATATTGAATTAACGCACTGGACTTGCACAAGCACTGCCGTCACTATCACAGTACAGTGGATTCCAAGCACATCCACTCATGACGTCCGCTTAACTTGACAAAGTTTTTTTTAGATGCTAACGGATTTCAACTTGGTGGAAGTGTAGACATTCATATAAACGTCATCTCCCACGATACAACACCACATCAGTTCACTTTCTGTCGACGAGGTTATCCTCTCCAACACTAATTCAACTTTTGCTTTGGGCGATAAACGAGACAACCTCTGCAGTGCTTTCAGCTTAGCTCTCAGCTCCATAGACGGACGAAAAACAAACGAGGTAGTCTGAAATTTCAAATAGGTGTCCGGGCGCCATATAACACCATAGAAACCAGATCACTGGGTCGACTTAGCAGCGATTCGAGAACGCGGGTCTAAATATCGTAGAGAGTAAGTGGTGATCAAAACGGTCGATACGCTATGTATGCAAAGTGGATGCTACCACGGAATAATCACCGGTAGCGAGTAAACTTACTTGGTATCTTCCGTTTTAAACGGTAGACATTTTTGGGCAACTGTTTCAGGAACACTTTTACGCAACTCCCATGATGTACTTGGCTTTCTCTGTAAATTGATACGGCTGTCCAAGTAGGAGCTGGCGGTCCGTGTCTCTTCACCAAAGTCTTTGGCCAGGTTAACTGGAGTATGAATTTTTCTCGTCCTGAGAAAGTGTCGTTTGTAATTTGCTAATGCGCAACGATAGAAGATCGGAAAGCGAATCGGTCACTACATCGGGACTTATGGCTGATTGCCCTCGTCGGGCTTCAGTCGGATTTGGAATTAGTAAGACAACCAAAAGTGTTATGCTTTCACGCTGTCGGACTTCACCGTGAGAGACTGTTAAATGATATCTTATATTTACATAGTGAGGGTTCACGTTACGATATTCAAGAAATAAAAAAGAGGACTTGAAAGCAAATTAAAACCCGTAGTACCAACCGTCGTTAACAAAAAGTTACATCACATTACCAAAAAATATATCTCTGGTTTTCCCCATGTAAAATGACATTTATTATCTGATTCAGCGGAATTTCCACGAAAGCCCCTCTTCATGTGTGTGAGCTGTTCTATCAAACTTCTAGCAGGTTTTTTGAAAGCAGAGTAATGTGGGGTTTTTCGTGATTCAGCTCGGAAACCTGGTGAGATACAACGTTCTGTAAAATATACACCAAGTTAATCAACTGAGTCAGTTTGTGGGACATGAGTTAGCAAGGAATCAAAGTGTACGAAACTTTTATACGGTCATACCGATGAGCTGATTAGTGTCCGCTGAACTTCAAGTGGTTTCCGGTAAACTCAAGGGGAAGGGCAATGAGCGAGTTTATAGTAGGTTGAATGTTGCCTAGTTTGAGTGAGTCACAGCGACATACTTGGTCTGCTCGTTTTTGGTAGACTTTGTTGCCGTTTGGCTTTAGATGTTTCCAATGTGGTTGATCAGAAAGGTCAATTGCCTGAGTACATCACAAACGAGAGATCCAGTTGGGTTCCAGGTGAGTCTCTCGGAAAACCAATTTGGTTTGCGAATGAGTGTATATTCGCTCATTTCGTGCAATTTGGTTTCTAGCTGAACATAAGGTTGATGGAAACCCGGGGACTGCGCCTACCTGATGAGCCCCAAAAGGGGCGAAACGGGTCGTGGGCTGTCGACGGATTTTCAGCAACCCTATGAGTAATACATTACAGGGACCTGAAAGGTCATTCAGTTGGATCAGCTGAAGTCTTCTTCTCACAGCTTAATAAATAAAACGGTATTTTAAGGTTTCCGTCTTAAAATATATTTCTTCCGCAATGATTACAGCTGTTCGTACAGAATAATTTATTTTTACGTGGCTCTACCTAATTCTTGGTCTGCTTTGAAGTACACGGAAGCAAAATATTAAACATGAAATAAATAGCAACGCTGGCAAGCTGCAACAGGTAGAAAGTGCGCAGTTGCACCTGCTAGGTTCACCTTGAGCCCGTCTTTCGGCTCAGAGGGACTTTAGTTCTTCAATTATTTGTAAAGATTACCCAAATGGACTTGTGTTGGTAGGTTGTTCATCTATTCCATGGGCATTTCAAAATTCAAGCTCAATGATCATGCTTTCATGTGTGTATTTCCGAACCCAACTAGGTAAAGATTATAGAAAAATCTTGTTGATTCAATGGCGAAGCTTGCGAAGAAGGGTTTATAGCCCCGAAGTTTAGTTTCTACGATCCTCTGGAGTGCTTCTTTGCGTGAACTCACTGCAGATGCTATTATACAGAACAGCAGACTGCGGGTTGCTTAAACCTAGTGATACAGCCCCACGCTTTAAGCTAAGGTCAGAAACTCAAAAAGTTCCTCAAATTGGGAGTGCCCTAAGATTTATTTCAGGGGATATCCAACATTTGGTCTCTGACGGTCTTTTCATAGTTTGATAGAGACAAGAAGACCACCCGTTTTTGTTCTGTTCAAGAAGCCCAAATTCCACCACAGAAACGCAAATTCGTACATCTCAGTGTGAAAAATATTCTATAATTTTTTTTGCCTTGCAAGAGAAACGCTCTGACAAAAAGACTTTCCAGACATGGCCCCACTTACAGCTTCTGCATGTCTCGTTCAAACGTGTGTTGGCGCGCATTTGCAAGGCTGTTTGTCGCACAAAATTCACCAATCCAATAAGAGTGTTGATAGAAACAACCACGTGAGCTAATCCTGTTGTTGTAACTGCATCACAGACCCTGAGTGTGGTCATGTTATAACCATGGTTTCCATCGATTGAAATCAGTAGTTGACAGACTCTGTGAAGTACATCTGGTAAACCCGAGTAAGCAATGATTTCACGTGTTTAGTCACGGTTTACACAGTATACTTTTATCAGTGATTTGAACTGGCGTATGACGTGATATACTGGTAATTCTTTCATGCGCAAAAGGAGGTATAAGCTTCGACTTGCTGGTGAAACCGATAAACATCTAAGCTACCTTTATCGCAAAGGTTTGTTTCATTGAATGTGTTCGCTTAGAAACGTATATACGTGATGGTAGTCACGCTAACCAGTCTGTTAGAACAAACCGTAAGCTGCTACTGATGATGCTTTAAACTACTTCTCATGAAATGCTTTAAAACCAGTAATCCACGAACTTTTAGACCTTTTAACGGCCAGAAACATTCACTCGATCAAACTGTTGATTGTAACAGGATGGACACAAACAAAAGAGTCATACTTGTGTGCAGAATATGATTGCATTATTACATTCAACTGAATCAAGATCTAAGAAATATTATTCCTTTCCTTGGCTCATCAAAACGACCAAAGCTGGGATCGTATGTCATGTTGTAGTCTTTTTTTTGAATAGTGTTTTTTCTCCTACCGAGCACATTCACTTGCATTTTGAAAGTATAATACATAGGCAGTATTTGTCACATTTTAATGTGTCCTTCTTCTACTTTAAAAGTAGAAGTTGTCTCACTATTCTTCATACGGTATTTCACTTCTCACTAGCGCGCCACGAAAAACGACAGACTTATTGTGAAATCTGACTAGCTTTGCTTATTCGTACTGGACGATCGCTTTGCCGAAATTGGTTTTCATCTCAGACATGGCCGTATGGATTAGGTCATTTACAGAACATTAGAAAATGTAGAATTTAAAACTCAATCAAGGATCTGTTAAGAAAGAATATGGTAAAGCAAATAGCAATGGCCTGTTTACACCGAGTCTGGCAGCCCTGCTACGCTTCGAGAAGTGGCATCATTCTGAAGCTTTCAACCAATCACACACACAAATTCCACGGAATACATAAGCAGTATACGAATATAAAATCTTCATTATCAGGTTAACAAATCAGTGGAGTAGCAAATGTTCCTCCTGTTTATACAGGTTTATTGATCTTTCAACAGCTGTGTTTGTTCCGTTTTGTAAACGGAGTACAATTCAGGGGTTCAGAAGACGGTTCCCCTGAGCTCGCTGTGCCTTAAAGTGATTTTAATGAATGTTATTCAGCAATCCTGGATTATGGGAACTTGGGCTTCATTTCACCTTCTTGTTTTTGGTATTTTTCCTTGACCAGTTGCTGTTTTTCGTGGTAGTGAAAATAGTTGCTCATATGAAATTTATGACGATAACCTCCCAGAGATTGTTACAAACTCAGGCAAAATATTCTCGTGGTTACGGTCCAATAACCCTGTGCCTCATTTCGGCGAAAGCTAACGCGGTGGCTTATGAGCAGTTTTATCTCAGGAATGCGGCCTAATGGGTGCCCTGAATATCCAAGAAACATGCCATACGTACTCAGGAAGCTGAGTTGGGTTGAGACCACCGTCCTGATATGGTCACATGAGAGGGGCTTGGGGTAACCTAGCATGTGTTACCTTGTTTTGCGTTCACTTAAGGCTGATCCGAAGGTTATAGATTTCAATTTCAGTCGTACAGTGACCTTTCAGGCCATTTAACACTCGGGTGGATAGGTTGAATGGGCTCGAATGTCGAGATCTCTTGTTCAGTATGTATAGTGTTGTAAATATTTCGTCAGGTTGTCCTATCAGAACACCTCGAATGATACTTTCCAACCAGTTTGTAATCAAGTGCACTGAACGTTTCCACATCAGTTCATTTGCGTCAGAATAGTCCAAACCAATGCAACTTGAAATAATAAAAAATCCCTCCTTACTCACGGGTTTCTTATGTCACTTGGCACGAAATCCTCCACGATCGATTTCCTATCCTGCGATTTATTTTGATTTATTTTGACAATAAACGATGTTCTAGATCTTATCGCAAAGCATACAGAGCATCCACATTCTCCTACTGCCTAATTGACAATAAGGTAAACCACAGAATGGTGACTCGTGACTTACAAACGAACAGGCGAGTTGTATCAACGCTTCATTCGTTCTGTTTTACTGTAATAGGGCTTATGTTGGTCAATGTATTCATGCCAGTTCAAATAGTACTTGGATGTCATACCCCAGATATAAGCCAGAATAAAGAAGGAAAAACAGGGGTGTCTACGAACCCCCCAGATTCGAAGTACCTTCTAGAATGAGATTTGGATCTTGTGAGCATCAGACCCGACGCTCCTTTGCGGCTTGTGAAGATGTAGTATCGTTCCGAATTTCGATAGAACAGTATACAGGTGTCAATTGATGCTTCTCCAATCTGACTATTATCTCCAAGTGAGTTTGTAAGGTCGAGTGAGAATCACATCCACAAAGCCTTCTAGTCCTTTCCACGGAAAATCACACAACACCAAATCGCACAAATAATGGAAGAGGGCGGGGCCTCAGTTTGGTCATAAAGGCTTCCGTTTCGCGTGCTAAAGAAGAGGATGGTTTTTCAAACTTGAGATGGAAGTGTAGGGTCATGCTCAATTTACCAGAATGTAGATAAACAAGTTTCTTCTGTCCCCCTGTGCGTAACACGCGCTCATTAAACTGTGTTATCACTTTCCGAAGATCCTTCGCCAAATTTTACGTAAATCGTCAGACTGACAGGTTAGGTGCAGTCCCAGGAAGGATCACTTTGGAACTGTTGTTGACTTTATCTCTCGGCTGTTTGTCTTTCGCTTTCACGTGGAATCGGTTGGCAAAAGGAGAATGTGGTTAAATTAGATGACTGAATCCCGTATGGGTTGCAAATCGCGATGACTGGTCTTCCAAATGCAGTCCGCAATTCAGTCTTGAGGATCCGTCAACGTCGCCATTTTCTGAGAACTTTGGGAAGAGTTGACTTTCTTTGTTTTTTCGAGTAGACCTAGATCCGTCAAACGGAAAGAATTCAGAATCCACTCGGAACAACCGGGAAGTAGAAGCAACCAGCTTTGAATTCCCTAGCTTTGTTTTTTCCTCTCCAAACTGGGCGATAGTGACACTCGATTGCCAATTGAGAAACAATCTGCTTGTGGCCGCGCCAATATCGGACACCATCGTATTTACGTAAACCAATCATAATGTTTAGTGCAAAATATAGCTTCAAAGTACATGAATACGCCGGCTTTCGAAAACTCCAATCGATCATGCAGCATTAGCTTTTACAACAGGAAACATCTCGGTCTCAACTTGATTTTTCCTTCCAGCTGTGGCACTACCCAAGACTTTTTGGCTCTCAGCTAAGCCAGTGTTTACAGGTTTTCGCAATTTCGGAAACTTGTTTTTTGGGAACAACATCGCCTATTTCAAATCCTACAAAGTAGAAAGCAGGTGGTAAATACATCAATGTGCTTAACTCATTTTGACTTTAGAAACAAATGTAGAAAATAATCATCAACGGTCCCAATGCAACCGCTAATAAACAATGGATTCAGATGATGGAACTGCACAACGGAATTGAGTGATAAAAGTCGTGGTGTAGATTAGGTGATGAGTGTGTCGGAGACAAACATTCCACAGTTGTGGAATTCGATGCAAATGCTGGAATAAGCACTAGGAGCGGTATGAATATGGAAACGGTGATTTGATCGAGTGCACCTGCATAGCTTGTCTAAAAATACCCATTCAGATAAATGATAGTTAACAGCGCAAGTTGGTCTGCTTGTAATGGTCCTGTACAACCATGTGATGATCTGACCTGCATCGCGCAGTGTCCTCTTACCCAAGGGCGGGTGAAAACGTCATATCAAAATGGTTGCCTCTGTGGCTCATGAATACGTTACGTATCATAAGGAGTGAATTTGATCGCCCAGATGGTATTCGCTGGATTTCAGCAAGGAAAATCCCGTTTCTTCACCCATGGCCAAATTAGGAGGGCTGCTGGTTATCTTTTACCCGTAGTGACCATATTAGTAAAAACACTGTTTCACAAACTCTGTCCTGGACGGAACTTTTAATGTCGGTTTGAAACCATAGGTACCACAGACTTTTAAGTGCCATCCTGGTCTTTTGTGGTCGATGCACACCGATTTTGAAAAAACAGGAGGCCATGCTTCCAGGAATTCCTCTCCATATCTGACGTCTCCGTATACCGGAATTTTTGCGTTTTCCAGACTGAATTTGTGGTCTTCTTGGTCCTTGTGTGTGAATACCAAGGATAGAGGGCCATGTCTTCCGACGGCCGTGTTGTGATCCTTTATTTGTGTGCATAATTTTCTCCCAGTTTTCCCAACGTTGAAGATGTTGCCATTGATTTGCTATTTGTTTTTTTCTTGGCTCTCTTTTGGTTTAAGTGAAAATCTGTTTGAGACCTACGAGGACTTCTTTTTGAGCTAATAATCTGGTTGTGAGATCACATTTATTCTTTGTGCCAGATAGAACAGCCCATCTGATCGCTTTTTCTTGCTGTTGCTGTTGTTGCCGCCGACCCCTCGCTGCGCTCTAAAACGCGCGCTAATAAGGGACTGGTGATTTCACCTCGATTAATGATGAAACGGTTGCCAGCAAATTGGCCAGCTCAGCAAACAAACAACCAAACGATGGAGACCATTGCAACTTCTAAGAAAGAGTAATTGATCGGCCACATCCTTTTGCTTATAAGCAAGTAACCCGTGTTCTCCCCACACTCGCCCTAAACGCTGCGGTTGGGAACCAAATATTAAAACGTGTAGTAGAAGAATCTGGGTTGTATATTTAGGACCAGACTCCACCACACAGCGAAACGTACATCGTTTACCTATGATACCATGTCATAAAGTTATGGGGTTGTAGATCAAACATGGACGTCGATCGGCTTGTCGAGATGTGCAATGTGCCTGCAAACTTTTTGTCCTAGAGGCACCATCAATTTGTGGTTCGGTGGAAATTCGGATGTCTTCCAGATAAGCCCTGTCACTAATGCAAAAAGCGCATGTGCGAAAAGTTAAGCATCGCCATCTTCTGCCAGGTTCACTTTAATGTACGCACACAACCTTGACCCATTTTGGATGAAAACAATTCCTTATCCGCATCTAGGCTCATTTTGTGCACAAATTTTCCCCGTTTGGGGGTAAAACCTTAAATGAACTTTGTGTTGCCCTCAACTCCCGTTCATGACAAGGAATGATCCATCAGCAATGTTTATGCAACAATGGCCACCAAATGACACTTTCAACTGTTTTTGACAGGTGGAGGTGTAATGCCCGACAGTGTCGGCAACAGATCGGTCTTCGAAAGGGAACTTGGCTGGAGCGGTCTAGGATGGAGTTTAGGACAGTATTTCTATTCATTTACTGCTGGTCCAAAAATTTGGCAACTTCATCCAATTTCACCCTCTTCAATAAAAACTAAAAGTACAAATTTTATATCCTCTTTTTTGGGTGGCGGGGTTTGATTTCTCAGCAGTGCTTATCTGGAAAAGATCCGGGAATTCTTAAGAAGGCTTGTGCTTGTGTACAATCCTAACTAACTACGCTCCAACTGACCGAGAACTGGAATCTTTAAGGCTTTTGCGTAGGACAGCTTGTAGAAAGCATTTTTTCGAACGAGAGAAAACGGACACCTAATTCTGTTTACTGCGTTCAATATGGAATTTTGTGGATGATATCTTTCTGGATGACATCATCCCCATGAGAGACTGAAAAAAAACTGTGGACAGTTATTTTGTGGCATTTCAGTTCTTGGATGAATAAAAAGATTGTGTTTGGGTGTATAATCCGAAATGATTATTTGAGTTGATTTGGCCACTTGTTATGAGTAGCAGGAAATTTAAGGTAGTTCAGTTCAATCAACACAGAATCGGAATGATGCAATAAATTGGTGCAATCTAATAAAAAGTGTTTTCACTCAATCCATATCCAGTTGAACATCTCGAAAACCGCATAAGTTACTAAAGCAATACCAAACAAATGATGTTGAGTTTTTCACAGCTTCTCCTGCGTGAAATTGACTGAACTAGTGGCTTGACTGGTCACATCACTAGAATGCTGGTATAAGGCATTTCGTCACATATGCTTGTGCAATTTCTTTACTTTACACCATGATGAAACGTGCTTTGAAAACGAAAAATTTAAGCGCAAGCTGTCAATATGTGTTTTTGTCTTTCGCAAGCTCAGGCGATTTGCCAGGTTACCTTGTTTAGACTGACTTGGTTTTATTTTGGTGCTTGAACTAACGCCTTTTTGCAAAAAAAAATACTGACGGATTTCACTCCATGTTTTACTTGTTATGTTGTCATGCAGTGTGATTTTAAGACTTGAATGGAGCAATTTTTGTGGTTCACTAGTTCTTCGTCTTGGAGCGTATGGCTGTAACATGTAGCCATTATAGTCCGTGTTTTGTTTTGAATGAAGACTTGATTGTGACCTCACGCTCGGAAGAGATTAGATTTTCAACACTACGTACCTAGCACAACTCTATCCCAATACCTGCTGCGCAGTAAATTCTTTATACTTTTTTTTTAGGTTTTTGTCATTCTCCATAGAGGTTTCGTCATATAACGCACCACAGTCTGAGCCCAATGTCCGTTAGACGTGGATCTCTTTCTGATGACGAAGACACCTTGAGTCATTCCACAACCGGGCATCAACCCCAACATAAGTCCAAAAGGGGTTATCTGCTGGATGAATTGGTATCGACTCAACTCCAGTTTGCCATCGATATGGAACAACTGTACAGCGCAATCAAACGGGCTTCTGTCAAGGTAAGCTCACCGAATTGAACGTTTCATATATTAATGTACAGGAACGCACCACACTTTGCTGTTTTGTAGAGGAAAATATTGGTACCTCAGGTAGCATAGATGCTTGTTCGTTGAGCTTGGCAATTTGATTACAAAGGTTTCACCACCGGTCGAAGTGATATCATCATTGGGGAGCGTAGTGGTGCGTAGCGGTGGGTAACTGGTTGTGCGCTGAATAGTGTTACGTGTGTGGTTAAATACGTGCTGCTAGCCGGGGATGACCTTTGTTCGCGATTAGTTGTTCGGTCGAGCGGTTCCATTGAGTCAAATCAACAGAGGTCACAAGCCAGCAGTCAAAAGGACAAAGGTCACTCCAGCATTGGCCAGACTACGACGGCAGGGGAGGTCACGTGGGCATAGGCGAATGAGGACACAGGATAACGCAGCAACCAATGGAACCGCCCGACCGAACAACTACTCGCCATCAAAGGTCATCCCCGGCTAGCAGCACGTATATTAACACACACGTAACACTACTCAACGCACAACCAATAACCCACTGCCACGCACCACCACGCTACCCAATAACGCATGATAATGTCACCTCGATTGGTGATGGAACGTTAGCAATCAAATTTCCCAGCTCAGCGAACGAGCTAACGACACTTTTCTTTGCTAGAGTCTTTCAGAACCTACAGTAATTTCAGAACTCCACATTTCATCACATCTTTCTCCCCTTTCTGAGTGCAAGTACTTAGTTTGTTTGAAATATCGGGATTTTCAATAAAGGTTGCTGTGTAGCCGTGGTTTCCTCGGACTTAATGGAGCAGTACGGACTGATTTTACCATCAATAATAGTATGCATTGGGAGCGTCCAAAGCGGGCTTGTTTGTCAACACTGGTAGCATGCACATAAAAGAAGATACAGACAACTCGTGCGTCCAAACATGTCATTACCAGCAAGCCCTTGGTTCCGATATAAATCCGAGGAAATAAGATCGGCGGACGAAGGTAAGGAGGCCTACCAGCCGGCATAGATATGATGGCACAACAAAAAGCATCGGTACCAGTTATCTGTTTTTCGTTGAGCTATTGATGTCACTTTCTTTATACGTCAACGTAATATGCGATGTGATGTAGTGTTAGTTTTATCGGAATGATAGATTGATGAGCTGTATCACCCTTTCGGTGCCTATCTGCCATGTCACCAGAACAAGTACGAGGGCTTGGATACTGCCAGGTTGCCCAGGTCTGGACAGGGGAAGTCAGGCGGCGGAAGCTGGGTTCAAACCACGGAACTTCCGGCCAGTAAATTCGTGCACTCACCACCGAGCCATATCGCCCCAGAATAAGTAGGAATAAGCCCATTAACATACCAGCAAACTAGTGAGGCCTAATCTGGCAGAGTCCATTCATTTTCCTACATGTCTTTACGTATCTCAGCTTCAGACGCTGAGATGAAGTACCAAGAGTGGGAACTTCCCTAATTTGACCACCTTTCAAAATACTGAAATGGAAAAATTGGGGAATTGGACTCAAATCGGACTTCTTTTAACATCTGCTTCTCTGTCCAGATAAAAATCCCACAGATGTTTTGAGTCACCGCAGGCAGATTCACTCGTGCTTCTACCTTGAGACAGCAAGCTAGGCTGGGACGTTTCCAGAAACTTCGTTTAAAGGAACTGACATAGCTATCCAACTGGAGATGGAATATCACAAAAATTCGATTAAATTTAGACTATTACGTTATTCTTAACTACGCTGTCACATTACTATCATCAATTATTATCATCGTAACTGACTGGGTGGGTAAAGTACCTTATCAAATGAATAATGCACTGGCCTCAACAGTCTTTCTTACCTGAGAAAAGCTAAATAGAGAATAAAACTGGCATTACAGAATCAGGTAACGACCAGACTTTGCTGGATTATCCAATCCTAATTCGCGTCATTCCATTCGTTTCGATAGCACAGCATTCAGCTGATTCATGCAAAAAAGCATGACACAAGAAGTTGTACAAAATCATGAAAACGGGAAGTGTCGATAATAAAAATGAGGATACATGTTACAGGGTTTTAATCATTCCTCTGGTAGCAATCTTTATTGGTAAATAGTTGACTAAAATTTGTGAAAATCGTTCTTGCGCAGCAGTTTGTACATGTATACTGGGTTAGTGAGCTTGCTTATACTTCAAACCAGTGTGCATTCTTTCTCAAACTGAGGAAGCCTGTTAGACAAGTCAAGCCCATTCGAAACGAAATTCGAACTGAGCTCTACTCTATTGTTTTGGGACACGAGAGTTTAATGCGAACACTGAGGTCTGGCGACCAACTGGCAATGATCAACTCTAATGTAGTACACGCAGGAAGTCGGGTGACTGATGTCAGTGAATGAATTTTTGGCACCCTAGGCAGTGGCTGAGACAGGGGACACCTGTCCATAAATGTTGGACTATAATCGGAATGTGGTTCCACGCAAAAATTCTCCATGCCAAGGAAATCAAACAAAGGAGGGTACTCCCATCGGCCGGTTAATTGTGGTTGGTTCTTCTGCATTCTACGACATGAAAAAATCGTTCGGCTCCAACATCATTTCAGTGCCTATCTGCTATGCCACCCGAAGGATGCACAAGGGCTGGGGTACTGTCAAGTTACCCAAGCCTAGACAGGTTAAGTCGAGAGACAGAGGCCAGGTTCGAACCGAGAACTTTCCGTTCAGTAAATTCGCGCTCTAACCACTGATCTATCTCGGTGTAATAGTGAATGTCAGCAAGACCAAAATCTTGGTTAGATCAGTTAGATTTCATAATATTTCTGTTGCACGACAAGAATACAGTAAATGTTTTTTTAACTCGCTTGTCTTGCTCATCACAGAAGAAGGCACCCCATCCTTAACCCTTTGCTAGATCGAAGGGTACTGGGGCAAAAAATCCCTGTGTTACATCCCAAGGTTTATGTATTCATCGGGTTCTACTGCAATAATGACTCCTCTCCTAGTCAAATGCGTTTTGTTGTACACGAAAGACGGGTTGAATCTACCAAATTTTCTCCACATTCATTCTCCATTAGAGAGTGCATACATACCTTTATCCTGGGCCACTTTGCCCTAACCAGTTGTGCGTGTTTAAGTCCTGTCTACATTGTTCCAACCATGAGCTGGAGGTCTATCAGGCACTGTTTCCGGTTGCCTAAACTCACTGAGATTGAGTTTGTTGGACCAATTTGAAAATATTCCTTTATTTTGAACGTCATAGTCAAGCGCAACAGATGGGTGTGTATAAGTTCATCTAAGTATCCCCAGTTGGATAACTCGAGGCTTATTACCCATGCCAAAAGCTTCCAGTTTTTGGATTTTCTAGCAACTGCATGTGTTTTACATGTGTTTCACAATCAACGAGTTTTCAGTCTTGTGACTATTCATTGACTTTGCCGTTGTTGAGCCAGCGTGTGCAAATTTTGAACAAGTAGTCTCACGACAAAGACGCTTGGCTACCAGACTGGTCCAATCAATCAAGGTCATCTTGGAATAGCAGAATTTCCATGTCTACCTGAGCACTTTGTTCGATAGTTGATGGTCTGATTTAATCTAGACTATGAAAATTGGTGGAATAGATAATGGATCGATAATATGAAAACCCTCATTTGCATGGCTTTGATCTGATGTAACAATGCATTCCAATGCTTTTACAGGGCATTGGATTTTTCCGAATTCGTCCTCAGTTGTTTCGCAAAACGTTTCCTGCGCACCAACCATACTGCACGTGTGAATTGTGTACAACAAAAGGGGCTCTCTCATTCGCACTTTGCTTTGCAAAAAACGCGAATGCGAAAAGTTATATTGTGGAAGCCAAAGTTTGGCCTCGTATAATTGTTATTTTTGGGAGTTCTTTGTAGATAGGTTTATTGTTTGATTCGTGTCAATTTCATGGATTATGTGCAGATGGTATGTTGTGAGCCCACTCACGATTGTTGAAGCCGTTGCCCAGAGTCAGAATCGAAGTTTTCTTTTGAAAATATCACACTTTCTTGGGGAAACTAGCAAAATGGAATCACCTTGGGATGTACTTTAACAGGCATGGAATTTTCTTCGGTAAAAATGCCGCACAATTCATATATTGTCAGAACCCGGAAAGGGCGCCTTCTGTCTGCTTTCCTCTGTAAGATGCGGCACCAGAGTTCATATGCTCTTCGCCAAAAATTCAAATAGGTCAACCGACTGCTTGTCACATGTATACCGTGATCTCTTTTTGATCAGATTTTACTTAACCTAGCCACTAATTTACCCTTACTTGTGAATACAGACCTACTTGCGATTAATTATCGTAGCTAAATTACCAACTGAATCTAATACAGTAAAACTCTGGAGAGTTGCGACACCAGATAATTCAATGATAATTGAATCCAACAAGCTACCAACGTAGTTTCTAGTGCAATGTGTCTGAATACGCCTTCTTGGGAGACTGTATCGTATTGAGCACTCCTTACTCAAGGCTACTTAGGTGCCAACACAACCATTCTTTGTGATGTAGATGGCAGGGACTAGCACGAGCATCCTGGATTTCGCTAACAGGTGTTTCATAGATGGCAGAGAGCATCCTGGATTTCGCTAACAGGTGTTTCACGAGTACAGTACAACAGTATTGAATATCTTGGTTGGCCATCTCATCTGAAATGGAAAATTATATCTCCCTTTTATAAAATGTATCAAGAAACGCCCGAAAACAAATAGAATTAAATAGTTTTATTTCAAAGAGCTCAAGCTTCAGTTCACCAAGAAGCAATAACCCCAGTGGAACGATTTTCGACTGCTCTCGAGTAAACAATTCAGAATAATTCGCTTCTCGGCGTTTTGAAGAATCACTAATTCTGGCTTGGTGAAACATCTTGAGTTCACCGTTCGTTTATTCTGTGCCATGAAAATTCGCGTGGCAGTGCTTTCGACTAAGCTTGTTGTCAGGTATTGGTTATTTAACACAATGAAAGGTTACTAAAAATAGCCATAGTGTTCACGTCAGATTTGACTCTGTTGTTTCTTCTAGTTAAACGCAGAAGACAGCCATGCCTTGTATTCCAACTTGGAGCAGGTCGCATCACTCTCAATGGAGCTGCACAAGTGCTGGAATCAAAAACTTTTACACTATGCCACCGTCGACTGGGATCGCTCTTGCCTTGGTGAGTCACCAACTGGAACAAAGTGCGACTTTCAACTAACGTAGCTGTACGGCTTAAAAGTGTCCTGTCACTGATGAGCACATGTTTCCGTGTAGCATACTACAGTTATTACATGAAGATAATAATATGCCGATAATATCATTCCACCGTTGTTTGTTTCGTTCAAACTAAGCGCTCGTCTACGCCTTTTGTGTCACCGATCTTGCTGAGAGCTTCTTCTGAAGTTTGATGGAACCACCGTCTTTACAGCGATAATGCCGTCGATCCGTAACTGATGTCGCAACATAAGTAAATCTGTAGCTAAAGAGTAATTTTCATCAAAAGTACCGGAGAATTGGGAAATCAAATAGGGGAGAAAAATGATAATGTAATCGGATACGCTGAATTTAAGGAAACCAAACCTCTTCTTCACAATCTGCTGTTAGGCAAATGTTTTTGTCAAATTTTCATGTTTCAAGAATCAAAAAGTGTTTTTTTTATCCCCTCTAGGTTATCAGCAGACTTTCTTGATTAAACATAAATAAAATAATAAACTAATCGGCTTACTCGTCGGCATTTTAAAAGCGACTGAATACAATGATGAACTTTTTGGGGAAAGTAGTTTCTTCATCAGTCTGACTGATGGACAGAAATGAAAAACCAGTGAAAACCTCGGTCAGTCCTCACCAGATTTACAGCTGAGAGGTCGGACTAAATAGAAAGAAAAGGCAAACAAAATTGTTGCCGAGCGAGAAACACATTTTTGGAAACCGAAATACACCAAAACTCTGACACCACAATTGATTCACCTCTGACTTGACGAGCAAGGATGTTGAAAAGCTGAGTTTAGCAAACTACTCACCTCTGGTGCTTATTCGTAAAACTGACCAGTTTGCTTGAATTTTTTTATAGTCCCTACGAACGGCAAAATTCCGGTGCAAAATTCATCCACATTCTTCCAATGGGCAGAGATCCCATTTATGGTTAATTGTCAGTGGATTTCCTCAATAAATTCAATTCACTCACTACCATGGGTTCCCTGCCAGTAATTATGTTAATTTTTCTCCCGCTAATTTGGCTGCCGTGACCTATCCATTCATTTGACTAGTAGTAAGATACTACTTAGTCGCGGTTGTCCATCTCAGCGGCTGGGATCGCAGTGATAACACGACATGGAAGAACAAGAAGCAGCATAGCTGGTAGATTTTATTCAAAAACGGACACTTTCGCTTGATTTGATAACACTACCGGGGTCGGACATACAACAGACACACAGCACTTCTTGCCTTGTTCATGTTTCAAAGCTGTGGCTGGGTGGAGGGGTGGATTGATAGCATGATCACTGAGGAGTATTCGGAAGAGAGTGGCGTAAACTGATAACCTACTGTGCTGCTTAGGTGATGATGCCATTGTCAGTGTTCGTTGACGTTCTCCGCAGACCTACCAACTAGTCTTGGCTGCCATTGGAGGCGCCATTCAGTTTGAAAATAAACCGTGAGTGTTAGGAATGAGCCTCCGGGTATTGAACTGCCACGTTTGGTGTATCTCGTCTGTATTAGATGAAATATAAATTTACAAATAAGTATGAATAAATGAATAAATATAAGTATAAGTAAATATCAATAAATATAAATATAAGCTAAGTACTCGATCGTTGAGTGAATTTAGATAAAAATGTCAGGTTTGCTCTCAAAAGGGAGAACCGCTAAACACTCTTAAATCTTTGTAAAAGCAAACTTTCACTCATGTTTGTACAAAGTTAGCCCTCGCTACGTTTAGTTTTAGGAGTCAATCCTTTAAACTCAAATATTGTAACACATATTTGGTTTGGAAAATATTTCGTTTAAAATAAGAAAGTGCGGTGCAAAAAGAGCTATAAATTCCCCGTAATCAGGCGAGGGTCAAACTTCGTCACAGCCACAATAATTTCCAGAACCCCTTTCCTCTCACCTGCTTGCATTCCGTTTCTCCCCCGCCACTTTTAGATCTTGTTGTCACTGCCACACACTCATGTATTCTACGATCCAAAACTTGTGAACGGTCATTTGCTAACGAATAGGTTGTAGTGGGATGAAATTTGTACATCTGGTTTCTTTTCTTCCTGCTCAGCGACTGAAACTGTTCCGTTTGTCGATCGCCTGAATGAAGTCTTTTTTGTATACTGCGCAAACTTCGACGTCGATTCCGTGAAAAAAGTAAGTTATTTCCATTCATTCAGAAAAGTTTGAAAAAGAGCGGGTGAATTCATTTCTGAGACCTATGGGCAAAATTTGACCTAGTTCTGAATTACTGTAGCCAAATCTCAAAATAATTTATTCCCGCTTGCTTCTCAAATGTTATTTGCAAATTTTCGGCTTTGGTTGGTCTGTGAGTGCTATAAGCTTGTGTAAGTGAAAGTTTACACTCATCACTTTTATTCATAAAGGGAACTACTCACAGGGTTGCTAAAATCTCTTCCACAGCCCACGACCGGTTTCGCCCTTCTTGGGGCTCATCAAGTAGGCGAAGTCCCCGAGTTTCCGTCAACTTCATGGTCTACTTGAACCCAAATTGAACTGCTTTCGAGAAACACTCTCATTTACAAAGCAATTTAGTCGTGGGCTGTCGAAGACTTTTCAGCAACTTTGTGAGTAGTTTCCTTTATGAAAATATACCGCGATATCTAAAATATAGTGCCCACTGAAACATGAGGCGGTCTGTGTGCAGCACATTCAGTTGTAGAATATCATAAACGAGAGATTCAGTTGAGTCACTCGTGAAAACCAAATTGATTTGCAAATGAGCGTATTTCTGTAAATCACTTATGTTTATGACCGATCCCGTCTAACGCTCACAAGCAACCGCGTGCCGTAAATGACCATTATATTGGTCCGTCCTGTCAGTGTAGGAATCTCGGGTCCCTTGGAGATGTATTGACATAATGTGCTCTGTGATACGGTTTCTAAAGTGTGAATCTTGCAAGCCGGCTTGCTAGTCTTTCAAATTGCCCGGCTACTAATGAACGTTTTGGTCATTTGAACCATTAAGCAAACTTTGGGAAGCATATGGCCATTTTTATTAGCTGGGATCCTAATTATGTCATAGGTTCGATTGCTGATCAGTCCAATCTTTGCCTCTAAGTACGCTCGTCAGCTAAACATCGGAAAGTCACCTTATATAATGTAATTTAACTAATCTAGCGCCTCTGACTGTTTAAAAATCTGTGAAATAAAAAATCAGTGTAGAGGAACGTGGCTATCAGAATTCGTTGAGGTCTCGCCCCCCAATTGTTTTTCACTATAAAAACGACACATGTATGTTCCGCGTTCCCATCAGTCTATTCGGAGCTCTGGCATACGCAGCCATAATTTGCGTATTCCCGTGAACAGAAGAATTGCCGTGATCTGACCAGTATGAGTGGCCTTCATTGTGTAACATTACCGTTTCTTGGACTATCACGTGACCGAAGATTTAGTCAGTTTGGACCATGGACTTCACTCGATTGATCAGAAAAATCACGTGGACTCGATGGCTTTTCAAAGTGCGAACATAACTAAACAACCGTTTAGGCACTTGTTTACATTCTATTATAAATTTAGCCCCCGGATTCCCTGTTTTAGTCATCCAGGTAATGTAGCATAAAGAAAACTTTGGTCACAGTCCACTATCACACAGTTTCGTGAATAAATGAAAAGAGACATTAAGCGATGGTCGGTGACGTTTGCTTCACGCTGGGCTGCTTCCCAACGACAGTGGAGAGCTTTATCGGTCCATTCTTATACACAGTTTCGTGTATAAATGAAAAGAGAAATTAAGCGATAGTCATTGACGTTTGCTTGATTCAGGGCTGCTTCACAAATACAGTGGAGAGCTTTATCGGTCCATTCTTATAAACAGCCTGATTGGAGGAACCGCGTACACACTGCACGGTAGACTTCCGATAAGCTAGCCTCACTTGCTTTCGGAGCAGACAATCTGAACCCTGCTGAAATTCGGATGTAAGAACACTTTTATCACCATCATCATCGACACCAGGATATCAGTGTTTAGCACCTATAGTTCACTACCGTACAACCGTGATTTAATTGAAAGCCTTATTGTGAAGAAAAGAATCAAGTTGGACTGACAACAGACAACAGAATCACCACCGACATCGGTTGGAAGTCGTAACTTGAAGCGTCTCCAACCAGGCGCAGTGAAAATCACGCGGTCCCCATCCTGGAAGGCGAGTAGCACCGACAGCACCCAGACGTTTCGTGATTTCATTCAATTTCTTCTGCCAGATCAAGGATGGACTACCCCTCTTATTCCGCCACTCTGAGTTGGACGCGGAAAATAGCATTCTCTTCGGCAAACGATGGCTAGGCACAAGCAACCACGTGTCCCAACCAAGGCACCTTCTGGTGCTGAACACATTCTTTGATAGAAGTACCCGTTGCACAACCGAAAACTCGCCTTCTAACTACCTCATTACGGATATGTCAACACCAACCCACACGAGCTGTGGTTCTGAGACAATGATTTTCGAACACCTGAAGACGTCTTAGTTCCGCTGCCCGAACGGGCCCAGTCTCAACTATACAACAAAACAGCCCGAACTGTAGCTTGATACACACGTCCCTTCAGATTCAGTGATACACCACTCTGACGCCATTGGTGTCTCAAATTAGCAAACGCGGCCCGAGCCTTGCAGATTCGTGCATTGACCTCATCCGTCACACTACAATCAGGACTAATACAACTTCCAAGATACGTACAGCGCTCCGCAACTTCCAGTGCCTCCCCCTGGATCGTAAGTGGCGTGTTCAGTGACTGCACGTCCACAAGCATGACCTTACACTTTGTGGTTGCAAAATGCATACCAAAGGACGGGATGACTTTGGTCAGTTCATCCAAGAATACTTGCGCCTTCTCCTCCTCTTCGAACATGAGAACGATGTCGTCTGCATATTCCAGATCGACAAGGTTTTCTTCACTGGCTATTTGAACACCAGGGTTTTGGAGACCCTCCAGCGTTCGTCTCATTATTTCATCGATCACAAAGTTAAAAAGGAACGGAGAGAGTGGGCATCCCTGACGGACAGCGCTTTGTGTGCGGAAGCTTTTGGAGAGCTCGTGGTATACTCTCCCACGTCCGGAAGTCTGAGAATACAAAAAGCTTATTATGTTCACGAGCTTCTAATGCATTCCCGAATTAGGCTGCCGACCTAATTTTTACAACACTCAACACGGGCCTAAACTAACAAGGAGCGTCTTTCTTGAGCCAGCCAGTTTCACCAGAGCACTGCTTAGTCGGTCCAAAGTCCATGGATATTTCTGTCATTGTTAGACAGATACCGACATCTGTCTGTGTATCCGTCAGCCCGTGGCCACGACACAACCCCAGATCTGCTTTTATGGCCTGATGCTTCACACTAAACATGGACGATTCGTGTGAGCAGTGAGCTTTGTAGGATTAGGTTGGGTGTTATACCGCTTAACCTCGCAGCTTGCATTGTGGTCTCACCTAATAGTGGAGCAACCTTAAAGAGACACAAATGTACGTAGTGTCAAGCGTTCATACATTGATTAGGCTCATCAACTGCAATACCGCATATAGCCAGCTGACTGTGCGCATAAGAATGAGAGACCACCGCTAGACACATGGGTTTTTACGCAGGTCTTGCTTTTTTTACAATTGTTTTTTTACGATTGTCTGTGTTTCAGATTTAATTTACTTTTACATGGTGCACTTTCAGTGATACTAATTACTTTCGCTACTGTAACTTAGCTGCCCATATTTGAAGTTCTAATACGCTACAAAATCAAAACCACAAAAAGACGAAATAACCGTACATGACGTAAAACATTTCCAAAAACATTAAGCCGGGATCTTTTCAGAGAGGTTTGGTAAGTTTATTAAGCCGGTAATTAGCTGACAGCTTACCGACGCATTCGAACTTATTCAGATTGGGACCTGGAAGAGAAAATTTTTAAGTGTGACATTCAAATTAGAGCTGTTTTTGTCAGTAACATCTGGTCACCCGTGATCCTGAAAAGTTTGAATAGCTTTCGACACACTCAGAACCGCACCCAGGCGGCTAATCACTTGTATCAATCAAACCGGTAACCGATCTTGATCGACTCGATATCCGGCCACTAATACATCACTACCAGCATAGCCTGTAGGATCGATGAGTTTCCCTGGAGCGTTTTTCGTAGCTGGAAACCAAATCATATTTTAGTGGATTGGCACATTCATTATCAAGTTAATTACCTTTTATCAGTTGCTTTAACTGCAGACGCTCAGTCACAATAATTCTTAATCAATTGCACCGCGAAACCATGCCTTCTGCTTCAGCGAGAACAGCATATTTCGTATTAGAATACTCACAGAATTCGTGGAAATCACTTCGATAGCCCACTGCCGACTCCAGCGATCATCAGATGAGTGCTTCCATTTTGAGACCCCAGTTACCCCCAAGTCATGTCAACAACAATTGAGAAAATTCACTCACGATCACGTGCATAATTGTGCAGCCACTTAAATCGATGAAACTTGTGGGAATGTGCTTACTAGGTGAGGGCCAATAAGAGTTTTCAGCAACCTGAGAAATGTCGCTCTAGCTGGAACAAGAGATGGATTTCATCCAATACTTTGGCAAAGAATATTGCGAACAGGAAATCTAGATGACATACTGCTTAGTTGCGCAGTAACAGTGTAATAATCTGCAGATGATGTGTAATCATTCAAACTGGTTCAGCTCCAGGAAACAGTTTTTCTTTAAAAAAAAGTTACCTTGATTTTGCACACTCAAGAAACAAGCTTCACGTCATAAATACGATGGAACGGAAAACAAATTATAAACAGCTAAATGTTATTCAGTCAAACAATATTAATATTTTTGTCCGACATTTTTTTCTTCGAATGCCTAATTCATCTATTAACATTTAGAGAGACACACTTGTAAGTAGTCGGCAGTTTAAGCCATGTCATATGCACAGAGGTCACCCTTACATTTCTTATTCCACTGTTGCCCTTGTTTAGAATTTCGCAGTGGAATCGTTCGTTGAAGAAGTCATCCAAATCTTACGAGAACGCAAGCCAACTTTGGTCAATCTTAACACTGAACTTATTAAGCCGGTCCAGCGTCTTGTCAAACTGGAACAGCTGTTTGAAAAACTCAAAGAAGTGAGCGTTTTAGGGCGGCTATTTCGTACCTTCAAATCTGAGCTTTCAGCTGGTTAACTGAAGCCGCTTGCATAACTGTCTCACCCCTAGGCAACTTCAGAAAGGCACCAGGATTACCAAAGCACCTGTGATTTGTACGAAAACTTCCGAGCTCTACTTCGGCGAACAAACGAAGATAAGCGCTGGAACGATATTCGTAAGTACCAGCTTATTTTACGACGTACGATTAATCTGAATCCGTGAATAGCGTTTAATTTCCGTCTTCTTCAGCGCTGAAACCTGTGTACAAAAGAAGTCCCAAAACGTTTGGGTCTTTTTTACTTTTGCTGATTTACGTTTACATTACGTATGAAAAATAATGCACCATTTCGTTGTCTCGCTCGATATCTGCACAAATATGGGGTTCAGGAAACCTAGCGACCTCATTCGGGAAAGTTATTCGTAGTTTTTCAAACAGCAACAGAGTATGTCTCGCAGTAATTCACTCTCCATTTCCTTGAGTGGGCCTGGTTTCTAAATAAGCCATTAACTTAGCTCTGTGAACATAAAATCACAAAAGGGAATTCGAAATAGTTCAGGGAGCACTTGGATCAAAGTGGCCGATCCGATCAGCCTGAACGTGAATTGTGTCTACGTAAAAACGGACGTTAACCCTCGCTTACCAGAAATAGTAAAACCCAAAAACAATTCACCTAAAACATAAACTTTTCCATTATGAATAACCAGTCAGCCGTGTAACCCAAAAACTCAAGTAAACACAAAAAGATCAAAAGAAACTACTGAAAAGGATACTGAGAACACTTTGACTGCCTACGATCTGTTTTGCTCTTCTTGGGGCCCATCACGTAGATGCA